AGGTAGGTTATCAATTTTTTAAATTCAAACCAAAACAATCCCACAAAGGGTATCCTGTAAATTAGCGCTAAACGCAATCATCACATTAGAATAACCAATTAACTAGAACAAAGATGAAGAGCCAAAGGCTAACCAATTGAAATGTTAAATCAAATGTTGAAACATAAAAACCCAGAAAATAAACGTAAATTTTACCACTACTACTAAAAACAGTTTTTTATGACAAATTGAAAATGCGTTTATTGGCAAAGGAACACGGGATCAGTGACTTTACGGGACGGAAGATCGTAAAGAAAGATTGCGGGGCGAAGTCGAGGGCACGGAAAAAAAACTCACATGATTATCAACCGCATCCGGGAGCTACGAGTCGAACAATGCAAGAAAATCTTGAACTTCCTTAAGCGAAAAAATCCAGTAATCCTGTTCACCAACGAGAGCATGTTTACCGTCGATCCCGTATCAAATTCCAGAACCGACCGGTATATTAGCTCTCTTCCGGTAAAAGACGTGGCCGACGAGCACAAGAACGTGTATCTTACCAAGCATCCTGCTACCGTTATGGTGTTTGGATTGGTGGCTTCCGATGAAAAAAAAATGGACCCGGTGTTCATTCCAGAAGGCGACAAGGTCAACACGGAGGTCTACATCGGGATTTTAAGTAAGTATGTTCTTCCGTGGATCAAAGAATAGTACGTTCCGAAGTCAAATGTTGTATTTCAACAAGATGGGGCTCCGTGCCACACCTCAAACCGCAATCAGAAGTAGTTGCAGGAAAATCTTCCGTTCTGGGCGAAGGATATGTGGCCGCCATCCAGCCCCGATCTTAATCCGCTGGATTACTCAATGACGCATTTCGCGCCAAATCGAATCGAAGCTGGCAGCACCCTCTCAGATTTCAATAAAATTTCCTGGATGTGTAGACTTTGACTAAATAAGCACTTTTGCATACTCAGTTTTTCCAAAATGTATCTAGACTAACATTTGAGAAGGGCCAAACTTATTCTGTCGATTTTTTTCAAAAAAATATTGTGGAAAAATGACAACTCCAACAAAAATATGTTGTATGGATGACTTTTAGGAAATTGACCAAATTATCGAAAAAAAACTGAAAAAAATATCACTTAAGACCTACACGAAAAAAAATTGTTTTTTTTTAAATTTAAAGTCGATTTAAAAAAAATTGCCATGTTTGATTTGGATGAAACTTTGCCTCAAGATAGGTAATTATGTTTACTACCAACCGTTCATACAACGCGGATGGGCACTTTTAAGAAAAAAAAACTTTTTCTTACCAAAACTTTTTCATGTCTGACCTGATTTTTTTAACGTACCACAACTTTACACAAAACTAAACCAGTGAAGCTCAAAATCATCTCAGAACCCAATGAAGCTCCATTTGTGATTAAATTTTGTCTAATCAGCCACTAACCTTTTGGATTAATCGAGAATTCCATATGAGAAGGGCTTATATCATTAGAAAATAATATAATTGATTATATTGTCTACTACTGAGGCAAAATCCGATACTCCTATAGCAATTTAGAATTCTTAGCTCAAATTATCCATAAAGAATTATGAATGAATAAAATTTAAATTGAGATCTTCTTTCGAATCAACACCGATTTGGGAAGTCAACGTATCGCATCATAATTCTATATGCCCTTCTGTTATTTATACCTAAACCAATAACATTATATACCTACCACTTCATTCTACCTATGAGCACTATAAAACTAAGGTTGATTTCATACAAGTAGCAGTCAATCTGATAACGAAAGTTGTGAAAACAAGTTGTAGTAAAATTATTATCATGGACCAAAGTAGTAAATTAAGGCTCAAAGGATTGAAATGTTGTGCAAATATAAATAATCCGAGATGCAACAGAAATAAGTTACGGGCCATATCTTCAACGATGGTAGAAAAAATACATTCTATGGGATATAACCACGAAATTGATAAAACGATGAGCAGTTGTGAGTCATGCCGTAGCGTGATATCTCATAATAGAAGTCCAGTTATGAAAAAACGCCGATCGGTTGGAAATGAAGTAAATATCCAACCGTCAACTAGTGGGCAGCAGCATAGTGTATACATAATGTATGTATTTGTACAATTCATGACAATGTAAAATTAATGATCAACAGTTTAAGAATTATGTCACAAGATGCAATAATAGAAAAAATGCTTTGTAATATTTCTACTAGAACAACTGATTGCTTTTTCCGTGCTTGCGAAAAGTGTGCTTCCAATGAACATATTGAAGAGGAACTTACTTTGCTATTAGAATCAAATGACAAACAAGATGTTGTGTTTCAACAGTGGCTGAATACTGATCGTTGTAATTTGGAAACGATTATCAAGCCTGTTGATGGATTTGTTCCGTATCTCATTGCTAAAATTAACAAACTTATAACTCATGACTTTATTTACAAACAACAGTCATCTTTTCTAAGAAATAAAAAAGAATCATTAAAAGAAGGCGAAATTCTAGCAATTTGTGATTTTTCTGAAAATTATTCATTGATTATCCAAAACGCTGCTCAAGGATATCACTGGAATAATTCTCAAGCAACAATACATCTATTTGAAGTTTATTATAAGAAAGACAATAAACTTGTAAATATTAGCTTCATTATCATATCAGAAGTAATGACTCACGATACAGTTGCAGTTCAGTTGTTGATCTCAAAAATGATAGATTTTATTAAACAATCGATAGATTTTTTTTAAATTACTTAAAAAAAATTAAATTAATAAAAAAAAATAAAAAAAAAACTTTGCTAGTCTGTGTAGATTTCAGTCAAAGCATGGATTAGAAACAGAATGGCATTTTTTTGCAACGTCTCATGGAAAAGGTCCCTGTGATGCCATTGGTGGCACTCTCAAGCGAATGGCAAAGAGAGCTAGTCTTGCTCGAGATTATGGAAACACCATAACAACTCCACGAGAATTATCTAACTGGGCAGTTGAACAAACAGATAAAAATATCACAAAACTACGTTTCGAGTACATATCCACGGACCAGTACATCGAAATGTCAGAAGAACTCGAAGAACTATATAACAGCACAAAGACAATATCTAACACACAGAAATTCCACAGTTTTGTGCCTATAACTGGTGACAAAGTAGCGGCAAAAAGGTATTCTAATTCAGAAGATGAACCAAAAATATTTGATTGGAAAATGGAAAAAAAAGCATGTATGAAAAAAGGTTTAAAACATTGAAAATATATAAATAAATGATATATGAAAAATCTTGCCTTTTTTCTCTCACATATTATCAAATTTTGCATCAGTAGTAGACAACAGAATAAGGGAATGATATTTTTTTTTGACAAGGCCTACATGTCCAAATAGTTTTATTGAACTCTGAGAGGGTGCTGCCAATTCCAAATACGATTAAGAAATGCATCATGAGCCCTTTTCATATGAAATTCTCGATTAATCAAAGTGAACTTAAGTGCTGATTAGACAAAATTTAATCGCAAATTGAGCTTCATTGGATTCTGAGATGATTTTGAGCTTCACTGGTTTAGTTTTGTGTGAAAATGGCAAATCAAAAAAAAAATCAGTTCAGACATGAAAAAGTTTTTGTAAGAAAAACTTTTTTTCCTTAAAAGTGCCCATCTCGCGATGTATGGACGGTTGGTAGTAAACATAATTACCTATCTTGAGGCAAAGTTTCATCCAAATCAAACATCGCCATTTTTTTTTTTAAATCGATTTAAAATTTTAAAAATCGACTTTTTTCAGTGTAGGTCTCAAATGAAATTTTTCCAGCATTTTTTTTCGATAACTTGGACAATTTCCTACAAAAATGTGTTGTATGGATGACTTTTACCATACAACACATTTTTGTAGGAGTTGTCATTTTTCCACAATATTTTTTTGAAAAAAATCGGCAGAAAAAGTTTGGCCCTTCTCAAATGTTAGTCTAGATAAATTTTGGAAAAACTAAGTTTGCAAAGTGGCATATTTAGTCAAGGTCCACACATCCGGAAAGTTTCATTGAAATCTGAGAGGGTGCTGCCAGCTCCGAATACGATTTGGCGCGAAATGCGTCTAACGTTAGTTTTAAGTAATTTTGTTATCTAAACAAAGAATATCGGCTCCGCAAAGCTACAGCATATAAACCTGGAAAAATAAACGAATTATTATAAAAAAAAGTAAGGCCGTTGGTCCCCGGTCCAACAGTTGATGGGTCGAAAGGTAGGGACCAGATGTGGGAGCTGCCTTCCCACGGTAGCCATTAGTACGGAAAACAAGATCGACGGAAAATAAATTAAGAAAAAAAAGAAGTGTCACTTCTATGCAACAATTTTTTGGAAAATTTTAAAGATGCCATTTTGAAAATTTTACAAGATCTAGCAAGCAGATTTAGAAATTATGCAAAATTTCCTGCAAATCGAAGTAGGTTGAATGAGAAAAAACGGTTAAATGGCTTTAAAAACAACAAAAAGGTCTAAATCTAAAATATCACAAATGGATTGAAAAACTTCGGAATGGTCTCTGCAAAAACACCGTGAATTCCTTCAAAATGATTTGTAAATATTATTAAAAAATTGCCCAAAAAAAGCTATAGACCAGCCAAACATGACCTTCAAATCTAAACCACCAAAAATAGCCCTAAATTTAAATGGTAAAACAGTCCTGAAATGCCAAATTTTCAAAAAATCGCTAAAATGGCAAAATTCCTAATTGAACGCCATTTAAATTGAATAATTTTTTTTTAATTAATTAAGGCATTCCGTTAAGGGGAACGATATAGTTTTAGGAAATTTAACTTCTTTCAATCTATTTGGTTGAAAATTTGAACAACTTTGTAATAATTATAAATCATGGCCAACCTTAACTCTTCCAACAAGGTTTTAAATTCAGATAGAATTTACATTTTTCTATCGTTTCCGAGTCATTAACTCATTATTTATCATACTTGTAACTCCTTGACGCAAATGGTTACGATTCCCATTTGCTGCGTCAAATGTACTACGCAGTTTACCTTATATGGGATTAGAAATCTTCGATTGATTGCTTCAAAGATCCTTCGTCGATGTCTCAAATCTCGGTTGACACCTTCAGCATCGCTCGAGTGCTTTAATTATTGTTCACTACACACAGCCTTTTATAATTGGACCCGTTTTTTTTCTCTATTGCCACTTCATGCAAAACAGTCCATAAATTATCACTTTGCTCTCTTTCTCTTTCTTCGAACGATCGCCTTATCCACTCGCTAATTCACTTATCGCGCGCCCTTATCAACACATGTGAAGTTGTTGGTCTTTTTCCTTTTGAAGCACGCACTCTCTTCGGTTGTTGTTTTTTTTTTTTCTCTAATTGGGATTCATCTAACGCATTTCATCACTCCCATTCGCCGAATGTGCGTTGTATCATTATCTCATCTCGTCGCATCCGATTCCTCTGGCTGATTGTAAAAATGTTGTCACATCACATTGGCACTTCTGGCGGCAGCACCACGGTTTATCATCGCGCGTCTAGTCGGTTCGATTGCAAATTGAACACTGACCGCGAAGGCTCGGCCACACGCTAAAATTGGGCTCTCGACGACGACGACGACGGCGAAGATCACATCCCCTCGAAACTGCCCCACCCCTCGCCACCCTGGTACACAGCCCGAGTGCCTTCACCGCCGTGCCATACGTGTATGTGTCACTTGGCTTCTGTTGTTTACTATACCTGCGAGTAGCCAACCACCCCCTTTGCCACCCCCTCCCGAAAGGGTGACGTGAGCAGCAAAGGGGTGGAAGGGGAAGTGCGAATTCATGCACGTCCGTCTTTTGCTTGTGAGATCGTTTGGTTTGACGGGGTGAAAGAAGGTTGGGGGAGGGGGCACATGGCTCCATCATGATCGTTCAGTGGCTGACTATACTTGGTGTTAGCGATTTTGGGCTCGTGCAAGGTACTGCTGAACCGACTGACTGGCTGCTACGGGGCTGTTGTGGCTATAATTGATATTGATGTTACTTGCCACTTGAGGGGGAGAGGAGAGGATCAGGTAAAAGTCTGCGATCGGTCCGATCTCGCGGAAAGGAGATTTACAAGATATGAATTTGTTTATTGCCAGTAAACTCCTGCCCGAGCAGATGAAGGCAGACATGTATGCGTGCGTCCGAGGGTGATCCTTCTCTGTGCGCCCAAGGAGGAGAGGAAAATCGTGAAACACGAAAATGCGAAGGACCACCGGGGACGAAGACCCCTCTGTCGTGATTGGGATAGAAGTAAAGGTGCAATGATTGATTGCTGTGCTGGTGGTATTAGCTTATATTCGACCAATGTCAACCAAATTGTCATGGAGATGGCGCATAATTTGGTGAATCCTTGGGTATTTATTGATATGAAAATTAGCTTATTAGAGTATTTAATACAGAAAATTAGTTAGGTCATGTTGAACTCATGGCCACATTAGCCTAAACGTAAATTTGGTTTAGCAGTTATGCGGATTTGCGCTTTAGAACAGTTACTGAATTGATTAAGAAGAATTTAACATTCTCAAAAAGTTCTCTGGATTTGAACTAGAATCGATCATACCTATGTAAATATTCAAAAAAGACTTATGAGAATCTAGTTTAGTGGGAATGACACTGATGAAGACTGCACATTGTAGTCGAAATACGTATCGTTCATCGATACCAATATTAAATAAGTGGAATGAAATGGAAGATAACCTTTTTTGCTGTTTTATTTAAAGCATTCCGCTAACGACCCAATTTCATTACTTCATTAGTTTTCCGACGTTTACCTGAAAACCCTTTGAGCATACTAGGTAAATCTCTTGAACGCCCCATTAAAGAGATTTGAACAGAACCTGGATATCCTAGCAATTTGAACAAGCTCTGGAATTCCATGATTTTTTTTACTTTCAAATCTGTGCTAGATACATATAAGGTGGGTGCACCAATTATTTCCATACTTTCCTATTGTGGTGTGTTCCAGTTATGGTCTGTGAAATTCCCATAGGCCCATAATTGGAGTACACCATAATAGGAACGTATAACATCTACATCTACCTGGTACATCTACCCTACTAGAAGACTGTCATATGAACACCCTCTATTTTGGACTTGACCTATATATTTAGACTTTAGAAATGGTCTGAATATTCCTTGGAAGTCCTCCGAGCTCTACCTAAGTTCTGATTGAGATAGTTCTCTAGGTTCTGTTGACAGCACGCAGCACTGAATTCACACCCTGAAAGGTCTTTGGATTTGCCCAGAAAGTCGTATGACCTTGTGAAAGAACCACAGTGTGATGGCTGTAGGACGGTTATCTTTCTAATGACTACCAGGTACACAGTGATCCTGAAACCGTATTTAGGTGGAATAAATTGTTTGTGCCTAAATAATTAGTTTAAGGTATCTAATGTCTTCAGGAAAGTATTTTCATTTATCTTGACCAATTTTTTTAATTGCAATACTTTAGGGTGGTCCATACGGTTGATGAGTTCCAAATATCAGCTTTTTAGTTATTTGAGACAGACCACTGTAGTTTTGGACAAAGTTTCAGAACAACTTTAATAAAACAAATTTGCTGTAACAAGCTAATTTCCATCTCTAATTGTTTACATTTCATACCGTCTTTTAATAAGTAACTTAGGGTGGTTCCTAAAAAATCGGGTTTTCATCAGTAACTTTTTATGCATTGATTTTCCGTAAATTATTTGTTCTAGACCAGCGGTGCTCATCCAATGGCTCGCGGGCCACATGCGGCCCACCAAGTGCATTTGTGTGGTCCGCAAAATGCTTTCAGTCTGTGGAATGTATGAAGCTTTTATCAAACTATGTTTCCTTTGGATTTCATATCAGCGTTCATTTTGAATTGTTCTGTTGGAAGTTCCAATTCTTCTTTTGCATTCTCAGAATTATTTTCATAATTCCTTCTAAACTTTTCCAAAACTTCTCTCGAAGTTTTCATTAAATTCGCGTTATAATTTGTATCACAATTTCTTTCAAATTTTCCTAAAATTCCGTTACATTTTTTTTATTCTGTTGAATTCTCCTCAAATCTTCCATACACTATCCTCCGATGATGTGAGTTTTAACTTCCATGAATTTTAACTCAAAACTATACTGCCAAACCTCTCCTTGATGGTGTCGAAACTATTATATTCTCTTTAAGATTCCTTTGGAACCGAAACAACTTCAAATACGGATTCCTTTTGAATTTTTATCAGAATTCTTTTGAAATTAATCTCAGAATTCCTAAGATGAAACCAATTCTTGGAACTAAAAATATCATTGCAATATTCCAGTTTCAAACGTCCAAATTGCAGTAAAAATATTCTCTTATTCTAACGATACACCCAAAATATTCAATGAATTCAAATAATACGAGTTGTAAAAAATGAAATAAGTATCTCACTAATCTTAAATTTGAAAACATCAACGTGTTTCTCTTTCGCTGCGCCTAAATAGAATCGGGTTAGTCTGACAGCTGCAATATCTGAGAATAAATTGTTTGTTTTTTTTTTTAATATACAATAATGGATAAAATATCTCGTTTCTGGACATCACGACTAACATTTGAAAATGGTCTAAAATGATGCAAATTATTATTACTATTATCACAGACAAACAGACGTAACTCTTTGAAAAACTTATTCTTGAAAACATAGTATCTCAAAACATATAACCTCAGTAGCGACATCTATCTGGCTTCTCGCGGAAAACAAGCTTGCTCGCTAACTCGTAAACAATATTGCATGAAATTTCTATAGAATATATAGAAACGTCAAAGTGATCCGATGCCAGCGCTTCGGCTAGTAGTTCGCGGAACTGATAATATTCAAATCAACCGTTAAATGCATGAACGAAGATACACAATGAAGAGTTACGTCTGTTTGTCTGTGCTATTATTATTAATTCGCATAAACTTGAGAACAGCTGGACTTACGAAAATTTGTATGGGAGCCCCCCTTTACAGAAGGGGGATGGGTCTCGAACCATCATAAGAACCCTTCCCTGCCCCAAAAACTCCTGCATACAAATTTTCATGCCGATATCGGTTCAGTAGTTTTTATAAGGGTCAGACAGACATAAATTCATTTTTATATATATAAATATATAACATGTAAAATATGTGTAAACTATGCAAGTGATGTAAATTAGTAACTGACATGTTGCATATAAAAATTGCTGTTTCATACAATGTTTGCAATATTCCATGAAATTACTCATAACTTTAAACGACATTCAACTTTTATGATAAGTGACGCTCCATTTATGTGCATCATATTGAACACTACTTTTTCGAACTATAAGATCAGAAATCGTTATGAGTATGTTTTTTTTTCGATTTGTTTAGTTGTTAGGCTCAAATGTTCAAAACCAGAAAATCTGTAATTTTTTAATAACAACAAATATTAATAAGGGACAATGTTTATAACTTCATTTTACTCTTCCTGGGAGGCGACTTTAGCTTAGCTTCCAATTTTAGCCATGTTCTCAACTCCCTTGCTTCTTCCAATTATTTTTCCTTCAGCAGCGCCCCCGTTCGTAGATTTAACGGAAGAATATTCCGTTTGTAATACGACAATATCAAAATATTTTCATTGAACGTTATTTGTTCTGTATGATGTATTGAAATATGCCTTAGAGCGCGTTTCGAGAAATATAAGCATTCGCCATCCTCCTCAATTTTTTCGGCATCAGTACGGTTACAGTCATGTACACATTATCGATTGTTTTGAGGTTCTGAATTTTACTTGTGGTGTAAACATTAATGCGTGTTAACTTATATTTCCAGGGCTGTTACAAGATTTTCTAAATTTGATCCGTGAAATCCGCGATTACTCAAAAGAAATCCGCGACTTCAAATACTAAATAATCCGCGACAAAAAAAAACTGTTTTCATTGCCTAAAAATAGCATTTGTACACTATTACATGGCATTTCAAGCTTATTGCTTATATCATATTAGATTTGTGCCTTAGTGTTTTTTGAAGTACTTTCACATTTTAATTGAGAGCTTTTTATGCCTGTACCATCCTATGCCCAAGAATTTTTCCAAAATTAATAGACCGGACGGGAATAGAACTCAGTCGCCTCCAGCATGGACTTAGTTTGTAGCTCCGCCTTTACCGACTGAGTTAAAGGAGTATCGTTTGTAACCTTCGAATTAAAAAAAATAACATTGTATCATAGTTATGTATGTATAGTATAAATTCTGAGTAATTAGTGAACATAACAAAACACCCTTAAATTATGAGATTCTATTTAATAATACCTGCCTAGATTTGATGAAATCTATAAAAAATTAATGCATTTTCATTTGAAATGCAAATTTTTTTGAAAATTAACCAGAGACGTATTTTGCTGTCCTAAATGTTGTAGTAATTTGGCTCTAGTTTTCTCAATTTTTGACCGATTCAAACCAAACACCCTGCA